TTAGTGGACTCAAGTTACTCTTCGATCTATTGTATACTCTAGGTTTCCAGTTAATTTTTGGTACACTATATATACTAGGTGCTCAAATTAGTCCTGGATCTACTTATATATTTCGATTTATTATAAATAATAATACTACCAATTTAGTTAGTCCGTGATTTACTCTAACCTACAACAGTTTTATAACTTTAGCGTGTCTCTGGTTCCACAGTAATATTTTAGAGGGCATTGTGTTTCTATAATTTCAATATGAAGGTGTACACCCAGCATAGCCTCTACTAAAATGTGCTTTCTATACTTCGTGAAATGTACAGCTATTCCTGATATTATAAACCTCTCACAAACGATTAAGTACCTGCAGATTTGTTTGCAGCTCACGAGACTATACTATACGCTTGAGGAAGTTCTTTGGCAGGGAAAGGATTAGTAATATGTAGCAAATATTTAGTTCAAATACAAATCTATAATACATTAAATCTCCATTACAATAATGAAAATATACATGCCGTATTTTCAGTTCAAAATTTTCAGTTAGATAATGCATTTTTTATAGAATCCTGAAACATCAATTCCGATAATGAACTTATCTAGAATACTACATCTTCCGACCAACAACGGACTTCTGTAGAATACGCACTCTTTAATTCGCTCATGAGCCTTGCGTCTCATAGTTGTAATGAGAAGAGTATTGTTATTTGAATTAGTACAATGAATATTTTCAATAGTTTTAAAATATTCGATATTATATGACTTTAACTGTACTTCACCTCTTTTATTGATTGTTCTGTTAAAGAAAGAAATACCCAAATGCTGTTAAAGACATCCAGAAGAAAACAAATCACGATACTTGTTATGTGAGTCATAGTTGATAAGTTTATTAAATATCCCTCCGAACTTTATATTAACGTGAAATCACGACAATCACACGGTAATTAGGGTGGTGTCCACTTTTCCTACCGGCACTTACCAACACATTCATATTTTTCAACATATATAAAGAGAGATAAAAATATTCTTAAAACGGCCTCCCCGGTGACTTGTCGGTAAGTCGGAGGACATATAACTCTAAAAAGCGGGTTTTGATACTTCGGTTGAACACAGCTAAGATAACCAATTATGTAACTTTGAGCTTTATAACAAACAAACAAAAAACAATGAAATGATATATGTGGAAAATAACTCTAAACATTATTATTGGGCGATTTTTCAACTATCCAACGTGCTATGAACTTTCTCTGCTTTCCTTCCAAATTTACTTTTGTAATGTATTACGTACAAACAAAGGTTCCTACAAACGTCCCTTTAATACGAAAAATGTGCTTTCCTTAATATTATATACATTTTTCACATGTCTTATATGAATTTCACATTAATAACTGGATTAAATGAATTTATATTTGGTTCACCTCCAACTGGCCCAGAGATATATCTGCGGACATACAACGCTAAAAACTGGGTTTCGATATCTGTGGTGGGCAGAGCTCAGATAGCCCATTGTGTTGTTTTGTACTTAATTTCAAACAATCTATTTCTTTCGTTATTAAACTCTTGCGCCATCTTTATGAAGTTTTGTCAACCATATTTGATTTAAGTCAAAACATAATATTTTTCCTACTGTCGTTTTCTAAATAACGAAAAGATTAGTTCTTTTTTGTTTTACCTTGTAATATCAATCTAATAATATAGCCTGAGAAGTTTAAGTACCATTAATATATAAATCTTTTAAGAATTTCTTGTACTATGTTCGGTAGAGCTTGGTACCTGTATGAGAATTCTATAGTTTGCAATAAGCTACAAAGAGCCAGTACATTATGAACTCGTAATAAATGTGATCGGTTAGAGTAGGTAGCCTTGAATTTCTTCTTACTTCGTTAAAAATGTGAATCTCGAGTAAAAGAAACACGAAGTCCAATCTATCATTCGATACGCCATGAGTTATACCGTTTCCCGGGAACTCCACTTTCTTCAGTAAGTATGGGTAAATATAAAAAAAAATATTAGGCTTTTTGTCTTTTATTCAGCTGAATAAACGTATTTAAATTGTAGTTCACTATTTATATATGTATATGCTTAGCGTAGTGAATAAAAAACAGCCAATCACTATACACATAGCCTTGTAAATACATCGGTAAACTGAAAGCTATCCAATTTGTGAAAAATATACTTGTGGATTAAAAATTGCCACGGTATTCAACAAATTTTAATAACTCTTATCTAAAGCTTGTCTGATTTTAATGGAGTGAAAATAATATTAATTTGTTAAAACTGGAATACGTATTTCTGATAATATAGAATTAAAGATACTGATTCGAAAATTTTCTTAAAGAGATACCGTGTTTTCATTAAAGCCAATAAATCCCACTCCCTAATATATCACAAACTATAATTATTAAATCTAGAAACTTTGAATTAACGCAATTTTATTGTTCACACTACATCCAAAGATGAATGAACACATTGTATTATTTTTAAATGACGTCAGTTATTAGACAGCAATGTCAAAAAAATAATAAAATAGATATACAACACCATTGCGCTCCACCAAATACATATTCTTATTTTGATAATTAGCCATGTGAACTAAAATGATAAATCGCAAGTTAACTGTCTGAAATGAATGTTATAATTACACTTTCATGGCCTACATAACATGTAACAATATTGAAGAATCCATCCATAATTGTTAATTATTTTCAAAACAACACAATTAGGTATATTTAAATACTTGTTCAAGTAGTATTTTCCCTTGAGCGATAAAAATTTGAGTGCAAATTCATTAAATGATAGGGGATTCAACTTTTCATTAACT